CAACAGCAAAAAATTGTCATTTAAGCAACTTATTTGCACGAGAACGAAGAACTAAGACGTTTGAGAACTGGAGTTTATGTTGAGTTCTAACCATGCGGTTGCATCATAATACGCCATCTTCGTCTTGCAAGTAGGAAGTGGAGATACTAATTGTATAACTACAGCATGACGTTTCTTAATTTTGTGAATTATGTAAGGGGGGTAAGGATAGTGATTCTAAACAGGGTGCCATGGCATGCATTTGCTTTGCAGTTAGATCACTAGTTATATGCTACAGTAATTCTTGCTTGAATTCCCATGACATTTACAAAATCGGAAGATGTTTTTCTGTATATAAATTGCGAGCTTGGTATTACTGTATTTCTTCAAGTATTTTTCACCTTGTTTTTAACTAATTTTTATCGGCCAAAAATCAAAAGAGGAAATTATTCAAACAATTTATTTTCGAAGGACGCGGTTACAGTAACAGTATAACAAATGAAAATGAGTCAACTACAAGTAACTATCACAATATTATTTCTCTCAAAGAAACCTACAATCCGGAAAGAATACATTATAATATTAACATTACAATATTTAATAAGATATATTCTTTTCTGTTTCCCTGTAACTCGAATTGCGCCGTACAGCTGTCTGAGTCCTGAGAGAACTATAAAATACGGCGATAGTCTCAGACCTCATATCATCCATAAATAATCAGAGAAGATGGCACTATTATTGGAAATAGGGGCAGTTTGAAAGCTTAGCAAGCATCGGACTACATATTAGAGAAGAGGCATTGCGCAGTCGACTCGGCGAGGTTCGTGTTTGCTTCGTTGTGATGGGTCGGTTCAACCGTTGGAAGGGAACGTTTCGGCGTGAGCTTCGCAAGTAGTTTGCGAAGGTTTCTCTTTGTTCACTATATGAACGAATCCATTTTAAAATTTAGGGGCTCTCGTTCTCCGAACCCACTAAAGGATGTGAAAATTACGGGAATTTTTTTTCAAATTTTCAGGTCTTAACGAAAAAAAAACGGGATGGAGATATCCGAAGAAATACAGCTTTTCGGATTTTAAGCCCACGGTAGTTACATATTTTGCATGTATTCCTCAGAAATTTCTAGTGACTAAATGAAGGCCGTATTTCCGATTAGGTGATTTTCAACTTTTTTGCCTCCCGGCACACTTTCTATTCGAAAACATATTATTTTATTCTTTATTAATTTAGCTTCTCTAGTGACACAGATACAAAATATAGCGAGGCACTATATTTTAACCAACTAGTATTTATCCGTTCCTTATTTTTTTATGTGACTGTGTGTGTGTGACACAGATACAAAATTGCACGGAATTACAGTCGCGCACTTTCTGTTTCAAACACTAGTTTTGCGTTTGAAAATTTATTTATATTTATAAAATTATAAATAATAATAATACAGAAAGTAATAAAACATAAATATAATCAGCCGGGTTTTTTTGAGATTTTTTTATTCCTATTCTTAGTCTAATTGTTATTTTTAAGTTATTAATCCTCAATTATTTGTATTATGATTATGTTGTGTTGTGTACATTATAAATAAATGCAAGGGGATCGATGAGGAAAACCATTTTTTTAAAAAGTGGTCGATGCAAGAAAAAGGCTGGAAATCCGTCTTAGGGTGTCAACTACTGAGCCAAAGAACTATTGATTCCTTGAAACAAAAAAAAATTAAGAATCGGTTCTTTAATTCCATTCGATTTCTTTGATTGAGCTGTCAGACCGCACAAAAAGTATTTACGTCTTAAATAATAGTTAAATTTACTTAAAAATTAAGAAACCATTGCTTATAACCAGGATACATATGCAAAAATACCTTCGTTTCTGGAATTAAAAATGTATAGTTATTCACACATGTTAATATTTTAACTAGTTTTACTACTTAACTCATTTTATGCTTTTACAAGCTTTAATTTTGCATTATATAAGCAATACTAATACTATGTATATATTTGTACTAATATTGCTTCTAAATTTTGTGATACAAAAACTTCCGCACAATTTAGAAGCTTAAGAACTTAAACTAGACGAAAAGGGGCAAAATTTTCCAATCAAATATGATTGAAGTTTTATGAATAAGTAGTGTTTACTTTTGCACTTCTATATCCTATATATTACACAAGGAACTAAAAAACTGCTTTCATTCAAGTTTGAATATTTTCCAGATTTCACTAAAATACAACTGTACGAACGCTTTATAAAATTTCTATGCAATTTTGCTAAGTAAAGAATTTTCTGTAAATTTTTCTATAGAATCCTATTCTGCGAAGATGTTTCTATAAAAATCTCTTTTCTATAAAAATCCTTGCAAGCTTTACCAAGTTAGAATTCTAGAAAGAATCACGTATAGAGTTTTATAGAAATTTCTATAGAATTTTATTTAGAAGCGTTTCTATAGAGAGAGTTTCTAGACGATTTATAGAAATTTCTATAGAGCTCTATCAGCTTCTATTAAAAATTTTCATAATGTCTATTACCATCGATTTATTTATACTTTTATTTCATGCAAAAGGGTATCCGTTATATTTTAATATTATTCTTTTCAGTTTCAGAAATGTACATGACTTTCGCCTATTAGTAGAATATTGTAATTACCATTTTTTGGTGGGGGAGATTCGTATGTGTCAAATTTAATGATTTCCAGTAGTTTAATGTTATGAGCTCATGCACTAAGTATTGTATGTACATAAAATTTTTCGAATATTACAGGCATATAATTTTTTGCATAATTTACTTCAGTGGTTTCAAACTCAAATCGTACGTAGGCCTAGGCACGATCTACAGCTGACGGGCCAAAATATTTTTATTTCATTATTTTTTTTAACAAAATGAAAATTTTTTTATTGATAAAATAAAAAAATATTTTCAATGAATTTAAAATTTTGTTTACTAAATATTGATTAAAATATACGCAAACGATAATAATATCTCAAAGAAAAGACTTTCAAAATTTATATTTTCTGGCCGCAAAGTTTGGTACTTGCAAAAACATTTTTGTTAGGTATATATTATTATTGAAATATACTGATACCTAAATATTAAATTTTCAGACATGTTTAAAATAGTTCTACATGTTTGATTAATCATTAAACAACTACTTAATAAATATTCCCACATTATGTATATTATGTAAACAGTTATAAACTTCTTTTTTCTATTTATCAGTAAATTGATTGCAAGCCTCAACATTCATTGAAATCGAACTTTTGTGCTGTTAGAATCTGTGATTTTGTTTCTGAAAATTGTTCATATTTATAAAATTTTATTAATAATAATAATGTAAAAATAATTAATATAGCATTTTTTCAAAACTGGTTCTAATTCTTAACTTCAAGTTATATATGAGCACTTGTTTGCATTATGATTATATTGTATGCTGTATATTAAAGAGAAACAAAAGTAATGGTATTGATTAAGAAAGCCATTCCTTTAATAGGGTCCAAAACATAGGTTGGCTATCATTGATTTAGACTAACGACGTTCTATATCTTCTTACTATTTGAAAGTGAAGCAGTGTAGAACGTCATTTTATAAAGATTTTGGATGTTTTTAATTAGATAGATCACGTGAGAAATGTATTTTTAATTTGAATAGCTTAATTTCTTAATCCATAAACAGACATTAAATTTGAAAGATAATTGTCTTACACTTTGCCGAATGGCAAAACACTCGAAAAAAGTGAAACAGTGGACGACATTTAAAATGAATCAACAAAAAATAAAGTTTCGAAATTAAAAGCACTTTCGGTCTAACAATATATAATTGTGATTAACATCGAAACTGATGACGCAGTTAACGTAAATCTCTATTAATTGAAAAGGAGAAGCGATCATTCTGAGTAGTTACTTCTGTCCTATTACTAATTGCTCTTTAGCTATTCACCAGAACTATATATACACAATATCTTTATCAACAGGGGTAGGATGGAAAAGTCTGAAAGGATTCAGATTTTAACGCAGCACGTGAGGATTTGTTAAGGTTTCTTACGCTCTCGTTGAGCATTGCAAGTTACCAATCACTTGAACTCACTTCTGCTAACACGATTTTTTTCTCTTTTTAGCTTTATTATTAAACATCACTTTCTTCGCACTCACGTCACGTAAAATTAAAAAGCAAAATCACAAAATATTTTAAAACAGTATATCTTTGATAGAGTATTAGGTGACTGCCATGCATTTTTGTGTCGTCGTTACATTACTTCTTTGAAAATCAGTTGTTAGAACGGCCAGCCGTCTAGAGAATTTATCATCAAAAAGAAAAAATTACATAATGATTTTTAATGAATCCAGCTAGTGTCATTTAAAAAAAAAATTTAGTAGTTCTAATTAAACATCTCGTGATTTTAATGCACTTTTACTTAAATTAATCGGATTTAAAAAGTAGAAAAATAGAAGAACTGCGTTTATTGCTTTACAGTCGCTTGGTTTGCTATTCAGTGACATAAATTTTAAATCTGAAAGTTAAATAAATACCTTATGCTTTACTAAATGGCAGCATGCTGGTGCGTGGACATAAAATAAGGCAATGGTAACACATTCCTTTTGAATAGACGAATTTGTAAATTAAAATTTATAAAATTGAAGGAAAACTATCTTACCTTTTGCTGAATGGCTACTGCCTGGCGCGCCGGAAGAAAAAAAATGTTTATTCCGAAGAGTCTTGCAACTACTTGCTTTCAAATCGCTCGGTTTGTGAAATAAAAATTTGTCAAATTTGTACAAAATATGAAAGAAATAAAAAAAATTAAATTTGAAATTCAAAATTGGGGCTTGCAGTTGCACATGTTCAGTCGGAGAACTACGTGTATTCAAAATTCGGTGGCTCTAAGTACCGTCGTTTCTCCACATTGCGAGGAACATACATACAGATTTTTCATCACTTAATTTCTTTAAAAATAATACGTGTCGATAATGTTTGGTGGCAACTAACTGAAAAGTGATTCGGACACAAACGTTTTACAAAAATAATCAAATACAACAGTATACTCCAGTTAGCCATTCTTTATTTGCTATGTACATTATATTGACTCCATTAATTAATTACGAAATTCACAATAGAGTATTAACTATTATTTACAACACTCTCAGAACAAAAATTATACAACGCTATGAATATACACATGATATTGAGCAAAATAAATTCGAAACGTAAAAATATATATGTACACAAAAGGTTTAAGCAACAACTTTCGATTCGATGACAAAATGTACAAAAAAAAAGGAGGTAGCACAAAATCATATGATACATGAGATAAGTTGCCACTAATTAGTGATGACAATTATTTAAAGTTTTACTAAGCGCTCTGTTCTATCTTGTATTTGATTTACGTTTCATGTATTGAGTACTAGCGCCAAATTGGTTAGAATAAGGCCGTATTTGTCACAGGCTGCCACAATTACTATTTCCCACTCGAGGCTGTTATTACCTTTAGAGTGAATGATTAACTAATAGAATAAGTAGGTGATTTGTGTGGAAAGCTTTTTGATTTCAGGTATATTCCAGGACTTAAGTTTCAAGCCTATTATATATTATATAATAACATTCCAAGACTTAAGTTACAATAGTCCAATATTTAAATGAGACTCTAGAACTTATTAGTCCGCTGCTTTACTTTCCTGGTGGCTTATCATTTCCAAAATAAATAAATCTTTTAGTAAAGTCAGGGGGTATCAATAAAACTTTCCGTCCCACTTTTTTTTGAGGCATGAACAGAAGCAGCACACATTCTGTCCTATTTGTACAATAATTATGGTAGCAAATGGATGATGATCAAATGATGACTACACTAAGGTATCTGATTATACTAAGATATGTTTCAAAACAATGGCGATGAGCTTGCTCATTTAGCAACAAACATTTAATCCAATTTGAAGTTTTAAAATTAACAGCTATTAGATTTTTCTTGCATTAAATATCAACTTAGAACGCGTCGTCTTATGAAATGCTTAATAATACCATGCATCTTATTTAAAAGGTCTATAATTTGGAATACATCTAAGCCTTTGGTGACATACTAATAAAAAAAAGATAGATCATAAAATTTAATTTTTCTAGAATAAGTGTCTAATAAAGGAACATGTAATTGCATTTTTAAATATTTTAGGTTACTAACATTCAGTGGCTCTGCTATCTGCAACAAAATGTCTAATAAATGACAGCCATGCTTTACTAGAAGTGAACTTTCGAAGTTCCCCAAAGGGTATCTAGAAAAGGCCTGAGAATTGGTCCAAAGGTTCGATGACAATCAATAAACAATAACATGCCTATAATCTTCTGAATAACAACACTACAGTTTTGGATTTTTTGCTCAGTCGATATGGTTGCTTGTCCAACAATCTACCACAGTTTTATGAAACCGAAATCCTTTCTGGAGGTGGTATATGAGCTAGATTCAGAGGAAGACTTCCATAGTTTGTTTCTGGCCCTGAGGAATCGCTGTTGGATATGAGGCCATCACTCATGAGGCTATGCGTCAGGCTGTGCCTCCTGAGGTCACAATTCCGCCTGAAGACCTTCCCACAAGAGTCGCAGTTGTAGGGTTTGATATCCGTATGGGTAAGGAGGTGAGTTTTGAGGTTGCTGCGCTGATTGAAGGTCCGACCACAGGTTGGACATTTGTGGGGAGAATCTTCCATGTGCAGAATTCGATGGACAGCCAGAGTTCGAGATTGGCAGAACCCTTTACCGCATTCCGTGCACTTGAAAGGTTTTTCCTTTGAATGGATGTATCTAAAATAACAAAGAGAATCTTAACAATATAATACAAACCACAAGCACACAATCATTTCTAAAAATGACTGACATTAAAATACACTTACGTACTGCATATTTATGTTAATTTCTAATTTGTTAAAAGGCTAAGATTTATAGTTTAAAAAGCTAAAAAAACATAATGTTTTGCCGAGATACGAGGCTCAACCCAGACCAGTTTGTAGAATTCTGTATGAAAAATATTTAGCAGGAGATAAAAGTACCACTGCATTCCTTTATAAGGTATTTCTCCCGCCTGGCAAGCATTCGTGGTGTAGTGGTCAGCACGCTGGACCGGTATTCCAGAGGTCCGTGGTTCGATTCCCGGCGCTCATTATTCATCTGTCCGACCTAAAAAAAAATCCTAATGTCTCCACAGTGGCGCCCGAACTAAAAGGGTGTTCGATGTGGATTCTCTACACCTAGGGTTTGGCGATTGGATCCCCTAAAAACCCCAGTCGCCCTTTAAAAAGAGAAGTATATAACGTATTTCTCCCGCCTTCCTAGCGTGCCTTCGTGGTGTAATGGTTTTGCAAGCTGGGCCGGTATTCCAGAGGTCCGTGGTTTAATTGCGGGCAAAGGCGGTTGCTCATTTTTCATCTCTCCGGCCTCCCCCCCCCAAAAAAAATCATAATGCCTCTACACCTTTAAAAGATAAAAAGAAATACGGATATTACATGTATATATAATATATATATATACACCTTTTCAACGTATTTCTGCTAAGTCCGCTAATGTTTCACCTATGGACTATTGTGCCTTTGTTGTATTGAAAAGAGCTCTTTTCTAAGCGCAAACTCACCCCCGATGGATAGGTTCTAGAAAGTAGTGGAAGAGGAATGAAAATCACCCCTGGATATTTAACGAAAAGTCCTTTTATCGTTGAAATCACGATGCAGACTTACAGTCTAGAAAAAATGGCTATCAGATGAAAAATCTAATATACTCTTTACATTTTTAAAAATTATTTTAACGGCCCCGAAATCGTTTCTACGAAGTGAAAACACCAACTGCAGGAGTTAAGTCGTCTTCGATTTCAGTCACTATTTAAAATTAGGCAAAAAAAACAACCTTAGTTTTATGTATGTTTTCTGAATTACTCTGCGAATTTTGAGAGCGATCAGAGATACGAGTATTCTTCTTCAGGAGGGAGGGGAAAAAAATAAACAATATGAATAGTTCATGAGACAATCAGAGGACACACTATTTCACTCACTCGACGTCGGGAGCGAAAAAGCTTTAATGTTATCATTCGGTTAATATTATTAAAATAGCTGTGAGCAAAAGTGATCCCAATAAGTGGAGCCTAGTACACTGTATTGCTAGGAACGTCTAAGAAACAAAACACGTTTGTCAATTAAATGGAGCCAAAGAAGTTAATTTAATATAAAACGATGCATTAGAACAAAACATTTATTTTTAAAGTGCATACATTGGGCTATTATTTCGATTTGATACACAAAGTATTGAGCACTTGTAATAGGTGATGTGATACTTGCGCATATGCCAGTTCCGCACAAGTGTGACATTTGTGCGCATCATCCGTGTGGGAGCATGAAATATTCTAACAGGTGACATATAGCCTATCAGAAACAATCAATGATCTGATTGGATTAAGTAGTGCCCATTCCTGCTCTGATGATTGATTTCTGGTAATTATAATTTCCTTGCTTCCGTGCACGATTTCTCAGAAACTCTTTGGGAAAAAAAAAAAAAAAAAAAACTTCTCTAATTATTTTTGGATGATTTGACACTTAAGGATTAGCACAGACAATAGCATGAAGGCGCGAGATTTCAAGTCACATGGAAGAAGCGAAGAAGATATCTTCAGTGGCGCAGTTGGCACTTCTGCTGCGCAGGGCGGTGTGCGAATTTGCCGCTCCTCTTTATATACAAACAAGTAACTAAAAAAATACTAGAATGACATACATGGAAATAAATTTAAATACTATGTTTAGTTTTAAAGAAAAATTTCAATTCCCATATTTTCAAATTATATCATTATTTTGCTTGTTTTTTTATTTCAAAATAAAACAAGTATTGACTTTTTGGCATTAAATTTTATCCAACAATGTTGGGGAAGGGAATGGCGTAGCTAGAGGGAAGGAGATGGCAGTCACTCAGGCAGAACATTTTTGGAACGATATTTTTCGCGGGAAGCATTATTTTATAGAGATTTGTCATATAGATCTTAGAGGCACGTAAAGCATAATGAGATTCTGAATTGCATTCCAAATTAAATTGAGGAGGGAAAAAATAGCTTTTACTTCAAGTAAAGCATTCAAAAGGATCACAGCAGGATTTCAACAGCCACATAACCTTGCTATACTATTTTTATTCCATGGAAACTTTTGAATGACACGAATTTTAATTAAATTATACTCATGGTAACATTATTAATAAAGAATTCCTCATTAAGAGAGAAGTATTTCAAGAGTTTTATTTCCATTCTACGAAAACAAAACTGGAAGGGCGGTCCTTTGTTTATTCTAAAATACACTTTTCAGAACGAAGTTCCAAACATTGTAACGTTATTGCAAACTTCCTCACAATGGCTGTAACTGCTGCTGGTTGTCAGAAGAGTTTTTGAAAAATCATTTACAAAGTATTGTAACGTTATCATTTACAACGCTTTTGCAAATTCCAAATGCAAAATCATTTACGACGTATTTTAGAATTATAAGTGTATATTTTGTATTTAAGAAATCTTTCTCTACTGTCTATATAACAGATATGTCAAAATTATGTAAATATCAAAATCAAATTTTTATTGTAATATTATAAAAATTCAAATAAACATGGCCCCACTGAGTGAGCAATAAAGCTGAAAGTCTTTGGAGGCACAGCTACTCAGTGGTCTCCTGTGTATATAACAGCAACAGCAATCAAATAAATTTCTACAATACCATCAATGGTTCTGAGATTAAAATAATAATTAAAATACTAATAATATAATTTTAAAAGATTTTTCTACAAAAATAAACATAGATTTTAAATTTAATTTCCTCTATGCCATTTTAACTTTTTTTTTTTTTTTTTTTTCCTCCTAGTTTGGAAATTAAGAGGGGCGGCAAATTCAAGGACCGCCCCGAGCGGCAAAAGCTCGAGCTACGCAATTGGAGGGGGAGAGATTAAAAAAAATACCAGTTCGAAACACAGAATTTCAAATACCCGTCTGTGAACTATCTTTATAGTTTTATCAAAAGAATAATGTCATCTAAAACCGGCTTCTTTACCCTTCTAAAGTCTCGTCAGTTAACGTGTACTTTGTTACCCTTGCATAATGCTGCGCAATGTTTAAAAAAATAAAATTTTATCACATTGATAATAATAAAAAAATATATAATAAAGTAAAACTTGAGCGAAAGGAATTCAAGGTGGGTGGGTAGACATTTTCATGCGTGCTTCACGAGCATTATCACTCACTCGCTAGCGCAAGCTAACTAAAAATTACTTCATTTTCACTAAAGAGAAAGTACTTCTTTATAAGTAAATGGACGTGAAACGATGTCCGCTGGATTTGTTAAATGGATATAATTCGGAGTTATACCGAAAAATGCAGTTTAAACAGCATATCTAAAAGAAATGGCTCGTACAATTATGTGTTCTTTTATACAGACATGGAGATACGAGACTTTTTTATGTCCTTCGCAATAAATTTGATTTACTGTTGATTGAAGTAGTCATGATCGTGGAGCGAATTTTAAGAAATTTTTTTTTCAGGATTTCGCTTAAATTAAATTTTTCTACGAATGCAAAATAAATCCGAGAATTTTGCATTTTCTCTTGATTGAGGAATTCACGTCATTTACTTTTGAATGGACTGATTCGAAATGAACTGATTTACTCTTAATTTGATTGTCTAGAATTCAACTCGTTTTGATTAAATTAATATTTACCGCGACATGAATTGAAATAAATTTTCTAAAGATTTCGTTACCGCGAAATGAATTTAAATAAATTTTATAAGATTTTTATAAGATATATAATAATTTATAACTTAAATTTTTTCTCGAATGTCCAATAAATCCACAAATTTTGGATTAACTCTTGATTAAATAATTAGATTGATTGAAATTCGATTGATTTACTGTTCACTATATCAAAAACTATCGTGGCATGAATTTTCAATAATTTTTTTAAAGATTTTGCGTAAATTAAAATATTCAGCGAATGTCAAATAATCAGCGAATTTCGATTTTTTCGCTTTTTTTTAAGCTTCAAATCCCATTAGTCTCAAAAACGATTTTCCGTTTAAATTAACCTCCTTATTTTAGAAAAGCATTACTGAATTATCGTGTTATCTTAAAGAACTCACTTTTGATTATTCATAATCTTTGTTTACAGTTATACATGAAAATTGTTTTATTATCCGCATTGGCAATTTTGTAGGTTATTTTTGGATAAAATACTACATCTTCGCAGTTTTATGGGAATACTGTACTTTTTGCGCATTCTATCTCCTGCAAACCGAGAGAAGTGAAATTGCCCGGTATATGGCATTTCTGAGCGGTACGATTACCACGGACGTCTGGAATACGTACCAAGCGTGCAGGCCACTACACTACGAAAGCATGCTAACAAGGCGGGAGAAATACCTTATATACCCCCCCCCCTTTTTGTCAATTTTTTAACCTCGGAAAAAATTCTAATTTCTCTACACCAAAAGCTATAATCGTAAGTTTCTAGTGTTTCCTTTCGATTCTAAATGGCAGCACCACCCTATGAATGCTCAATATTTTGCATTTATGAAATTAATATACCTCGTTTCAAGGTATCACGTTTGAAGATTGATAAATTCTATTGGAGGGAAAGAAAAAAATCAAAATTTGTAAATACATGCCGTACACATGCTGAACCTTTTATATTTACTGCATTTCAATTAAAACTGATAGTTAAAAGATTATGTATACGTTTTTAATACCGGTATATATTATATACCGGTATTATATACCGGCGCCCCTACTGAGGTTACCTTG